TAGGAAAAAATTACTTATTAAAAAATATTATTGAGATTACTTAAATACCCTTCGGCATAGAGAGATTAAGGTATAGAGAACTAGAAATCGTATTGATTTCAAGCAAAAATCTATTTAAGAGAACATTTCGGCTGTAAAGAGTTTTGCTAAGAGCGCCTCTAAACAAATAAGTATGCCGAAAAATTGATTTATTTATTTATTTATGTCTGATAACAAAAGCAATGTTTTAACAGACATTAAGAGTATAATTAAGTATAACAGAACAGTCTTAATAATAATAATAATAATGGTAAGGGCTAAGCTCAGGACCTTACCGGGGTCACACAGGGCGGATCGTGAACGGCCTACTCCGATAGGTTAGCTGCGAATAACCAATAAGCAGTCCCAAACCAAGAGCGGCAGGAGACGAGGGCCTGATTTAAAAGATCAGAAATGCTTGATGAATCTCCTGTGTCCGGGCGAACAGATGCCGCCCCCCAAAAAGCATCCCAGGATTGAGACCAGTTAGATCCTGTTCATGGCATACTGGAGCATGTATACGATTAGTCTGATATTGGGCTGGCGAGAGCAGTATTCCGCCACTTTAGTATGTGAGGGTGACACCTCACAGAAATGGCTGGTGGGCTAATGCTGCGATCGCCTCCGTCTCGTTAAAACCCTGGCAGGTCTTCAAGTACGTTCAATACACGTCGCCATTTAGTTGGCCGCACAGGTCCAGTTGAGATTTACTCCTGGTTTTGCGCTGTCTTGGCTCTGAACACAATATCCCATAAGGACTTGTGTCAACCCTCGCAATGGCCTACTCCTTTGAGAGAAGGGAACTTCGGGACACTTAAAAGCGACTGTGCTACGTGTGGAGATAGCGGCTTGAAGCGGAGACCCAATTGACTGAAAATGATTAAAACAAAACCAATAAACGAAACGAACGTCGATGATACGGAGGAAGAATGCAGCGCATTCAGAAAGAGCAGTAGAGTCGTGCGCTCCCCGCCACAAACTCCTCTGCAGGCAAATTCCGGCACCACGAGCACGGAGAAAGCCGCCGGCGTGGCGCAGAAGGCTACACCTTGCCAAACGGCAACTCCCGGCAGCCGGGATAGTCGTCTTCAAACGCCGGCTGCTGCAAACAGCGACAAGGATGTCACCGCAAGCTTGGGAGCTTGCGAAGGCAATGAAGATGAGCAATTGGCCCAGATTCGGCTCGTCCTGAAGAAGATGCAGAGCGCTGTGTCTAAGCAAAAGAATGTGTCCATGGACATAA